ATCCTCCCCTATTCTCTGCCAGTCAAAATTGACAGCATGGGGATTGGACCTTTCAAATGGTTCTTGACCAGTCTTTTTTTGCCCGCCCAACATACGTCAGTGTTAAGATGGGAATGTTCCAATTTTGAATTTTCAAAAGACATTTGATTTGATATCACAAAAAAGAGGTTACAGCACAATTTAAGATCCCATGGTGTTGATGGAAATATATTGGCACAGATGGAGGTTTGGCTAACTATAAGGAAACAGAGTTGGGATAAAGGATCATTTACAAGTTGGAAAATGGTAAGTAATGGATTGCCATAGAGTAAAGTGTCAAGGCCTTAATTATTTACAATCTATATTAAAGGCTTTGATGAAAGAACAGAGTCAATGGTAGCCAAATTTGCAGGTGGGAAACAAAGTTGTGAGGAAGACATTATTGGGCCAGAGTTTCACTGCTCAATTCGAATCAGAATGGAGGCAGGTGTCTAGGAAACAATGGCAGTAACACTGTGTAGCTAGATGCCCTACATTTGTTTCCACATCAGCAATATTCATGAGGATAGAGCAGAGTACAGGCCTCTAAAATCATCTAGGTTCCTGAACAGGCTAAACATAGTTAGGGATTTGTTAAAATCCAGATCAGCATGGTGGCTCAGTGGTTAGCACTGCTGCCTCGCAGCACCAGGGACCTAGGTTTGATTCCAGCCTCGGTTAACTGTCTATGTTGAGTTTGCATGTTCTCCCCGTGTCTGTGTGGGTTTCCTCCAGGTGCTCCAATTTCCTCCCACAGTCTAAAGATGTGCAGGTTAGGTGGATTGGCCATGCTAAATTGCCTGTAGTGTTCAGGGATGTGTAGATTAGGTGGTTTATCAGGGAATGAGTCTGGGTGGGATGCTCTAAGTGTCAGTGTGGACTTGTTGGGCTGAAGGGCCTGTTTCCACACTGTAGGGATTTGATGCGATTCTATTCTAAAAAACTTTCTGCAGCTTGTTGGAAGTAGCAGGCATTTTGTAACTGTCTATCTCAGACCAGTCGAAGACAGTCACAAATCAAGTTGGAGTAAATCAAATGTTTAAATCTTTTAGACATCCTGTGGATAATAGTAATTCATAACCAGTACCACTCCTCATTTTCTCTTTTTAAATATTATTCTATAATGAGTTAATCAGTGTTTAATGCTATGTTTTTCAGAACTGATAAAGACAAAACAAACCCAAACATCATATTATAAGTTAGTGAAGGTGTAGGATCGTGGTAAATTAAGAAAAGGACTTCTAAAATTGCAACCATGCCTCATTTTACACAGATATCAGGGTCAACCCACTTTTGGCAGTAGAACAAATACACTCCTATAATGAGTTGTGGCAATAGAACTTGGTCAGACCCTAATATGGCATTATATTTCAGCACAACATTTACATTTTTTTCCCAGTTGTTGTATACTTTCGTTACATTGGACAAATTCGTATTTCCTAAATTACCACCGGCATTAATGTAATGTTAATTGATAGTATTTGTCACCAAGTAATAAAATACCTATGTCATCCAATAATGCATAAGCTAGTTCTAATTATTAGATTTCTGTTTATTGTCTGAATATAATTTTGACAATTCTGCCTAAATTATAGTGCAAAACTATAGACAGATCATCCTCATAATCTAAATGTCACTATTCAGGCAAAAGCAAAGATAGCTACTATCGTACCCTGGACTTCTTTTAAAGACAGTCATACAGTCATTCAGCATGCAAACAGAGCCTTCGGTCCAACCAGTCCATGCTGGTCATAATCCCAAACTAAACTAGTCCCATCAGCCTGCACTTGGCCCAAATCCCTCCAAAAATTTCTTGTCCATGCACTTATCCAAATGTCTTTTAAAATTGTAATTGTACCTGCATCCACCACTTCCTGTGGAAGTTCATTCAAAGAGAAAAGATACTCCTTTAAACCAAGGAAACTGTGGCAGTTTTAATACTGAGTTGCTGGAATTCATTGTCAGTTATAGAATCACAGAATTCCTACAGTGCTGAAATAGTTCATTAGGCCCATCGAGTCACCACTGAGCCTCCGAAGAGCATTCCACCCAGACCCAATCCCCTACCCTATCCCTGTAACCCCACATTTATCATGGCTCACCCACTTGGCCTACACAAACCTGGACGCTACGGGATAATTTAGCATGGCCAATCCACCAAACCTGCACATCTTTGGACTGTGGGAGAATACTGGAGCACATGGAGGAAACCCATGCAGAATGTACAAACCGCACACAGACAGTGGCCCAAGGTTGAAATCGAACCTGGGTCCCAGGCATTGTTTGTTTCCAGTGCTAATCGTCGAGCCACCATGTTGCTTCTGTTGTGTCTACAATGTTGCTTTATTCAAGTGGTATAGGGTGCTGGACATATTGGCTCCATGACTTTGTGTTCAGAGCAGTTTTGCTCAGAGGGACTATTTAGTTTTTCAGAAACTGGGGTTAGGAGCACTTAGCATAGTAACAACTTTGTGATTGGTTCCTGGGCAGTCTTGTTTTTGGACAATAAAGCAGAAACATCCAGACTCCAAGGAGAAAGCATCTAAATCTCTCTCTTCTGTGTGAAAAGATAACAGAAAATCTTCCAACACGGATTACCCTGGTACTTGAATTGCCAAGTAAAACCGATAGCATCTCAGAATTACAGGAGGCTTGGTGTATTAATATTCCTTAAGAAAATCCGTCAACTCTTGAAAGATTTCGGTATCCAGTGTCTCAAGGAAAGTTAGGCTTGTAATAACCAAAAAAGCTGTGGGTCCACAAACTGTCAGAAGAATTACTCATTGCTTTTCATCTACCCCAATGTCATTTGCCTGGAAAAATAATACATTCCCTCCACATACTAGGCTCAGTCTTCGACAGCAGGCTCGAAACGAGTCAAACTTCCCAAATAACGATATGATGCCAGAAATGCTTATCCCAACTCAAAGACGACTGTTGCAAGCGAATTTCTTCAGGAGCGGAGCTGGAAAGCCATTGTAGTTTGCTATTGGTATGTCGTCTCGAGACAGGAAAACAGTCCCATTCTCATCGCCACTGAAATGACTCCACAGAGGCTGGTATTCTGTCACCTAGTCATCCTTTATTTACATATTGTAGGATCGATCGATCCAACCAGGACTAAATTTCAGGAGGTAGTAGAGTTCAGGCACGTGGCTGTTTATTCAAGCATTTACCAGTATCATGCAGGGAGAGGAACTCGAGACACTCCATGCAGGGCTGTGTCGAATGCATACATAGAGAGTCCTCGACACTGATCCAGCTTCCTCAGAGCCAGCTCCCAAAGTGAACAGGATGTCCAACACTCCTGTTCTTGTCTGTCAGCCAAGGCTCACTGATTGGACCAGATTAAAAGCCCCAATCAGAGAACTTGTATTTGATGAGGTGCAGCTAGCTGACCTCATTACAATCATTACAAAACAGGGGTTGAGGCCTTCAGCAGATCAGCCATGGACTTATACAATAGTGGGCCTTGTTTGCGGAGCTGAATGGCCTACTCCTGCCCTTATTTCTCATTTTCTTTCCAGAATCTAGGGGATTTTGGAAGAGTAATGGATTGTATCCACTACTTTTAAGATAGATTGCAGGTTATCACATTCAAGGGAACCATCAGTCTTTAGGCCCCTCGGGTGAAGTTCTTCGCACCCTTTCTGCCTCCTGATTTTTGACTGTTATTCAAATGTTTTTAGTGACCTCTATTGTAAAGACAGATACAAAATAGCGTTCAAAGTCTCTGATATTTCCTTGTTTCACATTCATAGTTCTCCCAACTTTTGCTCTCCACCTTTAACACATATAAATCTCATTGTCATGGGTACAATCCCTCTTCCGTACCTACACCGGCCCTAAACCCCACCTCTTCC